CAGCTTTTTCTCATTGGATCTATGTTTATTCTCTGACACCACAATGATCTCTAATGTGACAGCTTACTTTGAAGAGTAACAATGGAAACAGACTCCTAAGAAACAGTCTCTTCCTCCTGAAAAACTACTAAGGAATGAGAAATTGTAAGATACCTTATACCTTTCAAATGGGCAATACCACAGATTCTTAGAGAAGAGAGAAATATTAAGTATTACCACTGCACTTAAACAAAAACAAAAAAAAAAAAACCTGAGGCTTGCATTAATTCTACTGCATTAATTCTACTCCAGATGATAAAAGACTTTCACTATTTATTAGATAACTGAATTATTCTCAAAAGACTATATAATTTCACAAATAAAAATTTACTCATTCTTCCATAAATGTGGCCAAAATGTATGTCGCTACTGTAAACATATATAAGCCCTGCTATTTGACAGTAGCAACTATTTTCTTCCTAGAGGACGTATGCATACTCTGCCATCTTTTATGCTTGGCACACAACCATGTAAGACAAGCACAGATAATGCTACTTTAGTTTTCTGTAAACTGTAGAACACTGGTATTGGATAACAGGGAAGGACTAGGAGAGGACAACAGGAAGGGAATGTACCTCTGGACCACCTAGCTGGAAGCCCTGCACACCCCTATAACAGCACAGTGCTTGGTGAAAATACACATAAACTTCCATGTGGGTACCACAAACGATAAATCAGTAACAGTCCAGAACAGTAATTCTAGCTCCAAAAATGAAAACTGGCTCCAACCTGGCAACATAATGATGTTTTTCTCCTGTGGCCCACCATCCATTTGATCCTTGCATGGACATGGGCATTTTCCTGGATCTGCCAGTTATCAGCAGAGTCAGTCTCAGGTCCTATACGAAAGGTCATGCCCTACCAACGTGAGATGAAAGAGCCTTTTCAACAGAGGGTGGGAAGGATTACCTTGATCTCAGAAATACAAGGTTTGTGGGGAAAACGCAGGAACAGGTATGCTTATTTTCTGATTAAAAGTAATTCTGAAATCACTGTGGAAATAGTTCTGTATGGATCCACAAAGCCATCTTCACCCAAGAGAACACCATGCAAGGAAGAAATCTACCTTACCCTGGCTTAGCTGCTTCCTTTTTTTCCTGTTGGAAGCAACTGCAATCTAGTTTTTGCAAAAAAAGATGGAATAGCGAGCAGGACTCCATGCCTCAAAGAATGGTCCAAAAATCATTTGGAGAACCAAGCTCAAGTTCTTGTTTGGAACTGAATCCACAACACTGAATTAATACAAAAGAAAATATTAACTCAGTTCTCAGGATAGGTATAGGTTCCTGATAGTGCAAGGTTCATGGGTCAACTGCTTCCTGGCTGGTAGACAGCAACCTCAGACTACCCCTGCATGTTACACAGTACACCGTCCCAGTGTCCTCTACCACCAGCCAGCAAGTACATGGAAAACTGAACCAAAAGGCCTGCAGAACGATGCACCCACCACCACTGACCTAGATGAAAGAGGAAGATGCAAGGGTGTTATTAAAAGGACAGATGCTGAATGGATTTCTCCACATAACTGGATAATATCTTGCTTTTAACTAAAGGCTAAAAGGTATCTGCCTTCACACTTACCACAACCAGGCAAAACATAAGTATATGCTGCCATTTGTCTTGGGATAGACAAGCAGGAATTCACCATGGAAACAGGATTAAAGTCCAGCTGTAACATTAGGTTCTCATGATCTGCAATTTCTCAAAAGGCAGTAAGCCTTTGGCATCTGGTAATGATTTCTGTGGTCTGAACTGCAATGAGAAATTATTTTTGCGCATTCATTCTCTGACATATGCACATGAATAGACTGGAGGACCCAGTCTCTTGATGGTCCCTTTATCAGTCAGCTGTCCTAGGTATAAAAATAGATACAATTGTCTCAGGTGAGCAACTATCCAGCCAATGCACTGGTAAACACTACTGTAGCAGCAGAAAATACGAAACATAAGTTTATTTTTTGCAACGGTGTCCATATACTTATAACTTCACCCTTTTACATAAGAATGTGTGGTTAAAGGTGTTAAGTCTTCTTATGCTGTATCAGTAATGTGTCTAGGTTGCTTGCTCTGAAGCCTTTACCTCTGAGGTAATAGGAAATAAGTTCTGTGGTTCCCAGGGTTAATGAAGAGTCAATTTCCTTCAGACAGATATGTACAGGGTGGGTCTCCAAAAATGCTCATAATGGGAGGAGTGGGACTGTTAGAGAACAGAAAGGCAAACTCGATCAGGTAACTTGTGGTAAGCGTCTAAAACCCAGAATGATGCCTTGCCAAGTTCAATGGGAGAGAGCTAACATGTTTCCAAAAGAAAGATGGAGAAGCAGATGAAAGCAACCGAACAGGATATTTGGACTCTTTGAGAATGTTTTCAAGACTGCTGACAAGAAGACGATGAGGGTGTAAGTGCTGGCAAGGACACCTGCAGTCTATGCCAGTGATGACAGTATCACTCCTTGTGTTCTTCTTGTTGCTGGAACAGATTCTGCTGTGGAACACAAGAAAAGTGGCCACTGCACCAAGCCAAACAGGCAGATCTGCAATTTCTTCTAACTAGCCATAGAAGACTCAAAGCAGGTTAAGAATAGTTCTGAAATCCTTAGATGTAGATAATCGCTGAGTGTCCCTGCACTAAACACAAAAGAGATGTCAGAAACTGCTGATCAGAATAGCAACAATCTATATCCAAGCCTTCCTTGGAATCTATGGGATGGGATTCTGCAAAGGAGACCAGGTATCAGTGACTTTGTCTTCATAGCTAGAGCACTTGGTGACTCACCAAACAGCTGAAATGAACACACTTAACCAACCAAAATTATTTAGGCACTTCAGCAAACCTCCAATGTGAAAGCATGAATGCTCGTATTTCTCTTCATTGCTGAAAGAATCAAGGAAGACGGACCAGATGGATGAAGAGAAAGTTAGTGGCTCCTAAGAATACTGATGTTTCCTTTATAGTTGGAGAAAAAGAATGTATCAAAAGATCTTCCTATAATCCAAAATGGTTTCATTAACTCTACATACCATTTTGACTTACAGAATCATAAGGTTGGAAAAGACCTCTAAGATCATCAAGTCCAACCATCAATGCAACACCACCATGCCCTCTAAACCATGTCCTGAAGTGCCACATCTACACATTTTTTGAACACCTCCAGGGATCGTGACTCCACCACATCCCTGGGCAGCCTGTTCCAATGTTTGTCTACTCCCCCTTCAGTAAAAAAAAATTTCCTAATATTCAATCTAAACCTCCTCTGTCGCAACTTGAGGCCATTTCCTCTTGTCCTGTTGCTCGTTACCTGGGAGAAGAGACAGCCCCCACCTCACTACAACCTCCTTTCAGGTAGTTGTAGAGAGCAATAAGGTGCCCCCCTCAGCCTCCTCTTCTCCAGGCTAAACAATCTCAGTTCCCTCAACTGCTCCTCATAAGACCTGTTCTCCAGACCCTTTACCAGCTTCATGGCCCTTCTCTGGACACGCCCGAAGTGCAAATTGGAGGAGACTTCAAATTTGCTTTAACAGACTTAGAAAGACTCTCAAACCTGCACACCTGACCATCCTAAAAATCTTAATTTCTAGCCAGCAGTATCCAGAAGGTGATGTGTACCAGTTTCCCTGACATCCCTTAATTGTAAGGCTAAGAAAAAAAAATGAAAGGCAATCTAAACTTGCTTGTTAAAATAGGCTCCAGGGCTTGTTGCTGCTACTCAGGATTCAATACTCCTGAAAATAAGAGGGTAAAGAGCTATGCAGAACCAATGACTCCTCACCTCCTCCCTTCAAACTAAGGCACATTCTTCTTCAAAGACAATACGTAATGGAGACTTTCTGGCTGTGCTGAGTTGCTGCAAGAGGTGGGCAATCCCTTGAAGAATCCTTCTTAAAACAAACGGTATGACTAAAGGGCCTTGTAAAGTCCTTTAGGTTGACTAGAAAGTTTTCTTAGTATCAAGTGTGTACTATGTCAATTAGCAATCCTGAATGCTGACAAGAATGGAAATAAGGACTAATTCAGCATGCACAGAATCCTTGGTATTAAGCAAAATAATAACGCTGTCTTTCATATCAATGCTGGAGTTACGTTTGGCAACCCCAGGGGAGAGGCAGAACAATATTTTGAGCACCACAATCAATACTGTTGACTGAAGCCAGATAGGACAAAAATACAATTTTGAGAGTGCTTCCCTTGCTTTTTTTTCAGTAGGCATCAGTGGCAGAGCTGTCAGCGCTAATACTTGAGCAGATCATTTGGGGGACTTGAGCTTCCACAACAGATTCTCAAGTGGCCAAACCAGAGATGTGAAAAAAACCAACATCCCTGCATCCATCTTTTTATCAGTCCTCAAGAAGTGTGATGTTTGGCACTCCAAGTACCAGCTAATGGTACAGGTGGGGTGGCATACTCTGGAATGCCACTTCTGCTTACATACAAGGAAACAGCTAAGTTTCGGTGCCCACCTCAACCAGCTCTGAGGTTGATAAACTCAACTGTTTTTAACAGAAATATCTAAAATTTCAATTCCCTCTCCCTGCAACTGGGGAGTTCAGATAAAACCCAGCAATCTCAGTACCCTCTCATTCCCCCTCGCCTCCACTAAGGCTATATAAACACTAGCTATACAGCTCAGTTAAGCAGGATCATATGTTTCAAGTGACAGACAGATGGAAGATTATTTTTGAAGAAATCATTGGAAGATAAAAACTTTAACAGAGGAAGGGAAACATGAGAAGGAAAACGCATGTTAGAGGCCTTTTTAAACACTAAGAAGCACAGCATCAGTATACACACAATCACCACAAAGAATAGTAGCACATACAATTCCAAGTAACAACTGCATAGTATTAAACAGGCAGACTGCCCCTTCTTTACTACAATGAACACTTTTCAGCATATGACCATCACAGTCTAAAATTAAATGAAAATTAAACATTTTATATGGTATTACAAGAATAAATCATACCTCAGGTGCCAGGTATTCTGGAGTACCACAGAATGTTTTCATAGTTGCTGCATCTGTGATTCCTTCTTTGCAAAGTCCAAAATCTGTAATTTTTATGTGTCCATCTTTATCCAACATAAGATTTTCTAACTGCGTGATGGGGAAAAAAATGTTCCCTTAGTATTTCTTAACAGGACAGACTGAAGTATTACATCAATTTTGCAAAAAAGATACAGTTATTGCTTGCAATAGAATGTAATTTGTTTGTACTTTAAAAAAAAAATTGCAGCATCTATTATATTACAGAATTTAACAGTTTACTGTTATACAATTTAAAGAGTTATTTAATACTTCAATACAGTTTACAATAGTAAATCCCAGGTCAATCAAAGCACGACCTTTCATTCTGAAGTTTTACAAGTTGGTGCATCTTCCATAGAACAAAAGCAAAATAATTTTCTAAATATTCTCAAGATACAATCAAGTAATTCAAGGTTACAATCATGGTTGTCATTTGGTAAGATTTCATAGTTTTCCTTTTCTGTAACATGACCTTCATTTATCAAGATGCATTTTACTTACTGTAGTAACTACTGTCATGAAACAGTTAGTATATATCTGTAAATCCTTAAAACACCTGCATCTTCCACAACTTTTTCAGTTACAGACAAAAGTGGGGGTAGAGAGGCTACTGATAAAAACAAAACCCTGAGGTAAAGTCCTCCTTGTATACTTGCAAAGGACACTGTTCTTGAATTCTGTATGTGTATCTCTGCATGCTTTGCAGTGCTTTTTAAATACATGATTCTTGCTTTGAAATACAGCTTGTTATGAAGTATTTAAAAAACCAGGAATAAAAACTATTTTTAATATTGCAATTAAAAAATATTGCAATATTTACTGTGGACTATCTCAAACACACGACTAACATCACTTTCTCAAAAGCTTTTTATTAACAATACTTTAAATACACATAGAATTACAAACAACTAAAAACATACTTCTGAACAACTTTCCTCAACAGAAAAAGTTGGGGTTTTTTTCCTAATTGTAAGGTGGGTCATGAAAATACTGACAAAGAACAATCATAGCCGTGTCTTCCTAAGTCTGCATAAAGCCTGAAATACAATTCAAAGGCATGTACTTCCTGTTCAGTCTGTCATACAAAGAAGATGTGAAGTAGATGACACCAGCAATAGAAGATTAATTACATCAAATTCCTCTTTCCTTACTATTTACAATTTAAATAAAAAAATCATGACCTATCATTCCTTGACCAGACAATTCCATATTTTTCCAAGATGTCACAGCATTTCATGTTATTACAACAGATTCTGCTACAAATGGGTAACCCGGTATTTTGTTTTCCGGCTGGCTGCCTAAGCAGAACTTGCATACCACTGCTGTCTCCTCCTCAGTTCCAGTACAAAAAAGTCCATGAATGAACCCTGCTAGTGCGCACGTATAACAGGAAAGCACAATTTCCCATACAAGAAATGACAGGCTTGTCACAGAAATAAAATAGTCTCGTCGTGGAACTCAGAGGTTCCTCCCATATAAGTTAGAAAAAGTTCCTGTTGAAAACAGAGGTTATTTTACATAGAACATGGTCATACTGTGTCACAGAGTACCTGGAGCTTCAGGCAGCAGAGGATACACAACTGTATCTGCAGGTAAAATCTAAAACAAACTACATTCCAGTATCATGGATCTTTCCCAAGATGCAAGAGACAAAATAATTTTTCAATTAATGCTGAAATTCTCTTCCTATTGAAGTATTCTGAATTGTTTTAAATGCTTTCAAATCATACAAGAACATAACTCTTTGGTGAGATAAACAGAATGCAGTCATATTGCCCCAATTCCCCATTTTCCTTGTTTGGGGACATTGAGAATTATATTTGAGATTTGTGTTGAAATCCAAGTTAAGTTGTAAGTAATGGTGAAAAAAAAGGATCATAGGTTTAAATCTCCTTCTAGAGCTATTACTAAGGTATGCTGTTTCTTATAAAGTTCAATTCAAGTAATGTACCCATCTATACATTACTGTATCAAACAGCTTCCTTCAGCCCACGCTGAACACAGATATTTTTTTTCCCCATTAACTCTGAATAGTGCAACTTTATAATTACTTTGTGTCTGTCCCAATAGTCTCAGTAAAAACAAAAATTTGATTACTTTTTTTTTTTTTCTTTTTTTACCTTGAGATCACGGTACACAATCTTCCCAGAATGCAGATAGTCCAGGGCAGAGACAATTTCTGCACCATAGAAGCGTGTGCGGTCCTCTGAGAACACCCGCTCTCTCGACAAATGGAAAAACAGCTGCAGGGTAAACAGCAGGGACAGGATTGTAATAATTACTGATTTAGTGGGGGAAATTAACACAAACATAAAACACCTCTCATCACCATATTGTGATGATAGATAGTGTACTCTCAGTGGACACTCAGCACTCTTAGACAGCAGCTGGCTTATCTTTTCCAGGTTTCCAAAGGGAGAAAGCGAGCTGTTAAATCAGCGTTTTAATCAATATACCAATCTTGTTTAAGGCATTCTGCTTGCTACTCATTTAACCTTCAGTTACCAGAGGAAAAAAAAAAAAAAAAAGTATGCAGCAGCATCATTCTCTACTTCTCCCTCCACCACTTCCTCAGATTTTTACTTTAAGCCACTGAGAAATACCAGGAAAATACCCAGGTTCTGGTTCCGCCTTAAGCTTTTCAGTAATTTAGTAACTTTCCTCTGAACTGAAGAAAGATTAGTCCTTCAGTAGACTTTGACTGACCAGGTGAACTGGCATTTTACAAAAACAGTATATTCATACTGCTAGCAATATCACAGTCACTAGAAAAGGCAAACCAAAAACTGCTTAGGGCTCATAAAGACAAATCCATGTATTTGGTGTATTTCTTTGCTGCAATGTAAACATTTCTTGGTGGGGGTGGTGTCTAAGTAACAGTATTTTGCAGACACTTTTTCAACTGAAGTCTTCCAGTGAAAAATATTAGTCATTACATATTGCCAGTAACTTCAGCTGCAATGAAAAAGCATGAGGTGAAGTTTTGTAAGGTTGTCAGCATCTTATTGAATGAAACATCACTCTCAGAACCTGGAACAACACCTAAAAAACCAGAATTTGGCTATTTAATTCAAATGCTCTCTAAAATAGCTAGGCTTATTTACTGTGTTAAGAAAGCTTGGGAAAGTCCTCAAGCAAAGATGTTTCTGTATTTTGCTTAAGACCAAACGGGCCGCCTGCCTTACTCCTTCAAGTTATGATGTTTTTGGTTTTACCACAAGAGCTAACAACAACAAAACAGAAATACAGACAATGTGATCATTTATAAATTAGACAAGGAAATCTATAACAACAATGTGGCATTTTTATTTTCACTGCTAAAAACATCAAGTAGATAAGAATTCTGAAATGGACAGGCAGGTACAAAAAAAAAAAAACCCAAAACCAACTAACTGAAAACCCAGTAATGTGCTTAATCTGTCATTACCACCTCCTGCTTTACACCTGTAGAAAATCTACACTGCTCACATGGCACAGAACAGTGTAAAAATTACTGCAGCTATTTTCAGTGTGTGGACTTTTCAAAATGTAATTAAAAAATAAACAACTAAAGTCAACTTCTTTCCTGGCAGTTGTACTTCAAAAAATGTGTATTACTTTCTTCTGAACCTAAACAAACTTCTCACTAAACTGAGCCTTTTGGCAACACATATTTGTATAAGCAGAGACTTCACAGAAAATAGAAACTGCAGTACGATTTAAAGAGAAGATTTCATTTTTGTTCATTGTATTTGCATTCCCCTTTCAATTTCTTTTTGAATTCTCAAGACATCCTGTATAAAAGTGGGATACCTGCATGATGAGGAAGATGACTATTTTGTAGGCATTTCAATTGCTCCTGCTGTGCATTTCCCTGTTTAAGCACCAATCCCTGGTGGTGACATCAGTCCTCCCTGTAATAACATGCTTTCCATACTGATGACTGCCTAATGGCCAACGCAAATCCAAGACCCATACAGACTAAAAAACTAAGTCTGTCTTCATTAAATGCCTCACATACTATAAAATTTGGAAAAGAATAAATACATTTCTCAATTTGTGGGGTCTTTTCCACACCTTTTTTTTTTTCCCAAGATTTAAATAGGAAACAAACACCCCTAAGCAGATCTTCATTCAAATAAAGCAAAAATCAAAATTTATGTAATTCATGCTTTTGTGTGTTTTGTGATCTTTTTCATAAATCATGAGCTAACGACACTCATTTTTAAGACTTCCATTTGTTTTGATGGACTCAAAGTAATTCGAAATAAAGGCCAGCTTTCAGTCACCTTTTAGCGTGTACAAACAGGAAGCACATTCCAAAAATTTATAACGTCCAGTTATCCCTACATCCATATCTACGCAAAACAACTACTGCAATTTTCTGTATGAGACTAATTCAGTAGCTGAGCAGCAAAGTCTTAGAAAATTCTAAAACCTCAGGATACTTGTCAACCACAGATGTATTAGTTTCAGTAAAAAAATGTGTGCTCACTTGAATCTGAGAGTGGATACATGTTAACATAACAAAAGTTTATTTTATGTTATATTTATTAAATATTCTTGATATGCCTTCCAAATACTAACTTCAAAGTAAAATGACCAGCTAGAAACAACTAGCAACAGTTCTGTCTGCCAGAGAGAATACAAGCTCCCAAGTAGTCAGTTTATTTTAACATTATATATGATACTACAATCACTCTTCATAAGCATTCTTCATACTATTATAGCACCTACCAGAGCTGTCATCAAGCCATACATGCTAGTTTTGAATGAAGAATGTACATTTAGATATAGAAATGCATGTTAAAAGTGGTTCATACACTAAAGCAAACTTTAAATTTCTAATAGAAAAAGCTAATTCTGTGAGATTACAGCATTATTTTCAGCTAATCATTTAGTTGGTTCACTATTTTGGAATAATTACAGCACCAGGCTCTATTTACAATTGTCAAAACATGAAGATTAGATTTATTAAGTCAGAGAAGGAAAAGAAGAAATCTGAGGGAAGGTTATGAAAAAAAGCTTCCAGCATTTGTACTATTTATTGACTTACAGTTATTAAATATGTGCTATAAAGTCACTGGAATTGCAATAGAAACAGCTTTGGCACAAAGAGAGCCATTTCGCACATAACATTTTTGATGGCATACATGAGGGTGCTATAGTTACAGTGAGGATTTGAGCTATAAATTTCCTGGTGTGTCTTTATTTAAAAACTGAACAATGTTGCCATGGGGTTTTTTCCTAATAAAACATTTTAATGGAAAAATTTTAACAAGTAAAAACAAAGATCAAACATAGAAGCATATTCAACTGCAGATGCAAGTATATCAAAGCTACAATCTTATATCAATCGACATGTTAAACTTCTACACATGCTACTGACCTATTTAGCATGTTGAAAGTTGGATGATTTGCTTTTGCTGTTGTATATGATTGGGTTTGCTCAGCTCCGCAGTTACATACATTTTACATTTGACTGTTGATTTGACTCTTTTGCAAAGCATTTGCAGTAACAGCTTTGAAATTTTGAATTATTTGTTTATTGTTTCAGACTTCATACTGCTTCTAGGCACATTCTATACCCATAGAAATATAGCACCCTTATCTTCAACTATCATAATTTTATGCTAAGGAACATGCTCTCATTTACTTTGAGCTTAGGAAAACAAATCAGGATGCAACGAAGACAAAAATGACAAACCTTACAACAATATTCAGTTATTTTTCATTACGTAGGCTGTAAATCCTCTGTCTTTTTTTCTAGACAGTAATAGCACTTGTTCAATTACAATAAACCATTTACTTCTCTCTTGCTTAATGACTTGAACTAAGAGCTGTGTAAAAAAAAAAAAAAACCAAAAAAAAAACGCCAAGTGGAGCAGATTCAGAATTCTGGTGTGGAGAAACCATCTGAACAAATTTTGGAGTCCAATTTTATTATACAGGTAATTACCAATTAAGTTTGTTACAAAGTACAAAATTTGGAATTATCCTGAAAGTGCAAAGCAAGAAAGTTAACTTATTAGTCAGCTGAATCTGTGTGCTCTTCAGAGTAATGTATGCTAATAGATATCATTCATAAAGCTTTTCAACCTTTAAAACAAAATACTGGAAATAAAAAATGGGAAACATACTGCAAAAGTATTCCCCAACAATAAAGAGTCATTCTCAGAATACCATTTTTTATACCACAGTTTATACCATTCTGTGTGGCCTTGAAGTTGGCGGAACACTGTAATGTACTACTAACATACTGCAATCACATAATACTCAAAATTACATGAGTTAAAACAGGAAGAGTATGCAAATCAATACTAGCAGGAAAACAATCAATACAGCCTTACACATTTTTTTCAAAATGTTAATAGGACAAGGACAGCAAGAAATGTACAAAAATGAAGGGATTGTCTTTTCTTTAAAGTAGGCTCGTGTTTGCCTATAAGCACTGATAGTTTTGCTTATTTAAAAATATTTACAAGAATATTCTATATTTTGAACCAAAGTAAAGAACACAGTTTATCATGCAATACTGCATGGACTTTTTTATCACACACTCACAAAATATGGCATTTCAAAGTCTTGATAATGGAATTTGGTCATCTAAACTAAGCCAGATGAGTATTTTTTTCCTAAAATCAAATTTCAATGTCTTAATGTTACTTTAACGTAAATCCTTATTTTGGATTAATGAATCACAATGTAATTAAAGTAATCGCAATGTTAGAAGTATCCTTCTAGCTCTCCAGTGCAACATAGTTTATAATCCACAGACATTTCATCCACAGAGTCCAACACTAACACTAAAATGTTAAGCTTTCAGCCCACAACAGATTTCAAGACTGGGCCCTTAAGCAGCATAAAATTAAAAAGTTGTCAATATAAGAAAAACATATTCAATATTTCTATCTCAATAGTTTGTTTGAAAAAATTCTCTAATGTTTTGTTTTAATAGATTTAGCTAAAGGTTTTTTTTAAAGGAAGTCAAAAGAGAATTCGAAACAGTCATACTTTGTACATCATAAAAAAGCACACACATAGACCAGTAAAACTGATGCAGTAATATTTTCATTAGAAGACGTTCCCTCATTTACTGAGCCTAACTCATTTGAAGTTACATAGGTAAAGTTAGACCAAAAAAAATTGCTACTATTCTGGTGGGATATTAAATTCAACACGGATCTAGATTTTTAACAGGTATAGAAGATTCTTGTTTAGGATCATTTTAACACAATTTCTTCTCCTCCAGAATGAAATTCAGGGACCTCTTCTTTGACTGTTCTCCTTCCTAACCATAGGAAGAGGAACTGAAGATTCCTAGTACTGACTACACTTTTTATTACTCTAGTAAGGCACAAGCCTAAATTGCGGCATTTTCTTGCTTTCACGTGGGTGAGAATCAAGAATACAGACACAAATTTCAGGAACTGCTTCATTCAGAGGACTGTTTGGGTAATGTGCTCCTGAAAGAAATAATCCATGAAAATTCCCAAGCAATTGACTCAGGCACAACTGTTTAACTAAAAAGAAATCTTTAATCTAAAGGAATTTTAAACAGAAACGCATTGACGGTAGTACAGCTCTGGAAAGAATCAAAAGCAACTTGGTACTGCTACAGTAAGTTTCCCACTGGAAGGGTATAATTAAAAGATGAGTTTTCAACAACTTCAACAGTGAGAAACCACTAAGAAAATGAAACTTCTCTGGAACACAGAGAGAACAGTAGAGGGAAGCAGCAAAAGAAAAAAGTTTGTGTACCATATAGGAGATACGCTCACAAACGGCTAAAAGGCTGGCTAAACTTTGTGCAACTTACTTTCAGTAGTTCTGAGTTAATAACAAGGCTATTTTTACAAATATGAAGTCCTTTGTACTTCTTAGCAGACAGTGACTAAAGTCTGAAATTCACAGGAAAACTTGGTAAGATTAAAGATTTTCCTATTAAAAAGGACAGTTTATCCACCTTACTATTCCCGACCTCTAGTCAAAGAGAAGCACATAAACAAACCAAGAGAGTTTCTTCAAAGAAAACTGACTATTCTGAAAGGCCATTATTTCCCACTGTGGCAAAAATTTATGGTTAGCTTCACTGAATTAGGGAACCATCAGCAAAGGACATGAGCAACAATGACAGACAAAAGCATCATACCTGGAAAAAAGTGACCTACTCTTGGAAAAGTACATTGTAGTTATTCAAATCCCAAGAAGCAAAAGCAGGCTGCCACCAAGAAACCCATGACACAAGATGTTTTCAGCAGTTGCCACCATCCAATGCAGAGGAATGCAAGATACAAGCCTAATCAAAACACAGTGTCAGACTATCCTCAATCATAAAAAAGGAGTCAAAAACATTCTCTGGGGCCCCGGCTCTGCATTCAAATAGGACAGAAAGGTATCTTTCAAAAAGATGAGTATCTAAATGATAGGCTGATGATAAAATCACACTTTTAAAGTGCATCCATGAGATTACAGGAATGCAATAAAGGAAGAGACAGACAAAACTATGAAGAATTAGCTGGTTTATAAGGGATTACTTTTAAAACTCATTGTAGATAGCCCTGACTTAATACTGGTGACATTCAATGTCAAATAAACCAGCTGAGTCTCCAAGAGAAGGGTGTTATCCCATTACTGCTGAGGGAGATTTTTGTGTCTAGATCAACTAGACAAAACAGTTCAATGCCTGTGATGTTCAAGACCAGGTTTACATACATTGGGTCAAACAAGCCATCCTCCCACATGAGAGCCCGACAGCACCACGTTTAGCCACGGCTGGTAGAGGATGGCCATCGACGAGTGAGGATGTACATGGGCCTCAGACTGGGCCCAGAAACTGCCAGAGCAATGGATTCAAGACAGGCGCTCTGGGGATGCTCAGGCATTAGGAGTATAGTTGAAGACAGTTTTATTGCAGGAGAACACAGCAAAAGGATAATGCAAAACATGCTATCATGCTGCAGCAATTCCTGAATGAAGAAACAGTTTTCTAATTAAAAAAAAAAAAAGCTATTTTAAACAGTCCTTTAATGTTACTATGCAGCATATAGTAGACAAAATAAGGAAAAACCCCTAGTTCATGTTGTTATGAGATACAGACTGAATAGCAAACAGCACCCAAAACGTAGATAAAAACCCTCTTCTTAGATTGCAATTCTCTTTAACTCCATTTGACAGGTATAGCTTTTGATATTCCATTCTTCAGTAAACAGCTAGAAGACAGCAACAGCTTAAAGGCGAACAACACTTTAAGAAGTTTAGCACTTAAGTTGAAATTTCCAGAGTATACAGCAAGTGAAGGGGACAGAACTAAAGAAAAATATGAATACTCTCTTCTTATAGGTGTTTGCAATGGCTATAGCAAAGAACAGAGCACATATTTCACATTAGAAAAAAAACAAGACTAGTCAACATTACTTTTGCGTGTGTGCACTAGATTATGTCTGTTTGATGCCAGAACATGCCATAATATGCTTGAAGAAAAAAAAAAATAAGCACACCATTTGTAATTATTTCTCTACCACGAAATGATCTTTCACAATACAAGTCTAATTTTTCAAGAATAGGAACTACTTTTGACAGCACAGTTATAAAACACATTGCATTTTTTTTTAAATAAAAGTTTTAAAAATTAAAAAAAAAAAAACCTTCAAAGATACTAGAAAGCAAAAAAAGGCAAGAAAAATTATATACTTTAAAGTGTAACCCAGTGACAGCATTACCACTGCGAGTGTAGAACATGTTTTTAAACTTACCTCTCCTCCATTAACATACTCCATCACAAAACACAAACGATCCTTTGTCTGGAAGGAATATTTCAAGGACTTGCAAAGAAAACAGCAAAACCAAACAAATTATCATCTTGTATTAAGCCAATTTCTTGCACTTAAACTGTAATAAAATTTAATTTTATCCTCTTAAGCAGACAATTCTGACTTGGTAAGAACTTTCAGAGTAATTAAAAGTGTAACTTCCTATCTGGAGCCTGAGGTGAATTAACCTTCATGTCTTCCCTCAATCTCTGCTACACGGCCATTGATATGAAAACATACATTTGTTATAATAAAACACTAAATAGTTACTAAAATATACAATTTGATACTGCATTCTCACTGCCATACATGGTACCAGCTACTCTCACTCAGCATATTTTATGATGTCCACTTCCACAATGCCTATGAAAACAGTGATCACCATATTCTTTTTAATTTCTCCCAAATGAAATCTTAAAAGTGATCTTAAACTCCCGCCTGCTATTGTTTCCAAAGCAAGGATCCTCTAGTTCCACATACTATGCAATGTTAAAAACAGAGTGCCAAATGAATATATTTATTTACGTATCATTTTAAAATTGTAACAAATGTTATAATCTTAATTAAAATTTTTGATTTATCAGTCTTGATTTGATTTTGCTTGGAAAAATGGTATCGAAAATCTACAGATGCAGGCTTGGCCTAAAAGAAATGAAATGCAGTAGAACTACATGTAACAAAATCATGAAAAGACTCATGTCAATTAAACACTGCCAAGTATCCTTAAAATACTTGTTTAATAATATCAGAAAGATACAAAGATACAACTGCAGTAACATTGTTGCAAAATGTGATTGGAATTGACTCTACTCGCGCTTATCTTTACACTCTAATTTAAGAAACTTTCGGGGATCTCATTTCTCTTGACTGATTTTCCAAGAATATTTTGGCCAAGCAATGTAAATACAGTCTTTTGCTTTCTAAACAGTTTATTTATGATTTTCCAAATACAAAAGCTTCCATGTTATACTCTGATATTTTAAAACAAAAAAGAAAATATTTTTTTTCCTGTCTTAAGATACATGTTAATTATCTTTTGAAATCAATGAAAAGATTTTCTAATATATATTCAAAGGAGAGGAATCAGAATTACTTCTACAGAAGACAGTTGTAAAATTAAAACTATTAATCATAATTTGTCATGAATCTCAAAATTTTCATCTTCAATATTTTCTTTTGATTAATTATTAATCATATGAAGACAAAGATATTGAAGTAGTGGAGCTTGAATTTTGTTGCTCCATGGGTTACTTATGTTGAACAAATAGTTATTTTTATCATTTTATTGAATTATTAATTAAGTTTTCTTGGTAAAAATTACTTACTTGACAGTACATTAAATCAATTACTTTTACGAAAAACTTGTTCATATACAAAAACTGCACAACAGCTACATTCTACAATTAAATTTGTTTTCAGTCCAGTTAAACTTTGCAAAACTTTTAGAAACTTTATTTCTGAACTCTTAAATACATACTCTGATAAAGGATATCATAAGCACCAGATAGCTACTGCTTCTTTACAAATCTTCATGAGAAAGACTTCAAAATTTGTTTGTAAATTATGTTCATAATGGAATACCCATCGTGTTGAAAATTACCTGCTAATGTAATTAAAACAAATTCCTAATACTTACTGTTAAAAAAGGGTGTCTGGTGTTTTTCAATACTCTGCTTTCTGTAAGCGTATGAGCCACTTCATCCTGAGGAATAAAGAGTAGAAGTAGGTCTGAATTAAGATGTTAAATTGTTATTAATTACGAGGAAAAGGTCAGCACTTTCGGAAAGAGAAAGCTACAGTACAGTTTTGGAAAACTAATGAACCTGAAAGAAACATGAAAAACAGTTCATGTATTTTGAGAAAATATTTTGAAGTAAATTTAAGTTTGGCAAAAAAAAACAATTTAACATATTTTATTTGATGTTTCTTATTTTCTTGCTTTAAAATTAAGTCTTTATATCCAATGCAGGGAAAGAAGAAATTATAATATTGGATTTGATAGTTTAAAAATACAGTCATCACAGCTTTGCAGTTCTGGTATGAATCATCCGAACAACATACCTACAGAGAGATCGAATCAATTCGCAAGAAATGGGCACAAGTAGTAACTGACAGGCAACTATAAAACCTAGTCTAATCTAGCCTAGCGTTGAGTAAAGCCAGTTTTTATGCTTTTAAACATTTGCTTGGTTTGGCATTTGTTTTGTTTTTCTTTCAAACCCTGTAGCCATACAGACGCCCCTCCCTTACCCGCCTGGGCCGGCCTCTTTCCCCAGGGACACAGACCTCGCCCGTGGGAGGTGTCCACACAACCCCCACCCTATTTCCAGCCAAGTTTTGAGAAAGGGTCAATTCGGAGGCAGACAGCGACACTCTCCTGTCTGTGAGCCTGAACGGTGAAGATTAAAAATGAGCCCTGTGCCAAAAAAGAGAGAGACACAAACTAAGACGGCCTCCGTGGGTGCCTGTGCCCCGGGAGGCTCAACCACCCTTGTCCCTGCGCCCTCCACAGCCCGGGCCCTCTCTCCATCCCCCGGGGTGGCTGCCAGGCAGGGGGCACACCGGAGCTGAGAAGCAGCCTGGAGGGGTGACAGCGAGGCCCCATGGGCAGGGCTATGGCCCCTTACGCCACCACGTTTGCAGAGCAAGGGCCATGCAGGGGCGAGGGTGGCGGGAAGAGGGCTCAGCCTGCGCTACAACGGCAAGCAGCTCCCGAGGACTAGGGAGAAAAGCAGGGCACTTGGGAGGCTCATATTATGAATACACAGCCATTTTACACAACTCCGCATGTAATATATGCTGTGAATCCCTGCACTCCAGATTGCCAGGGGCTGGACCAAACACCCAAGAGCCACCAGGCTGGTTTAGTCGTTTCTGTAGCACTAAGCTACTGCCGAGTATTATATTGCACAGAATTGAAGACTAACTTAGTGCAACTCCAACTTCAACCACAATCCTGCAGAAGTATATATTTAGTCAGAGTATCCTTTATTATTGGTACAAATAATACCAATACAGCGTTATTGTACTACACATGCTTATCAGACTATGTTGTGAAGATAAGGTATTATTAAACTTAAAAGTAAACACAGACGTCAGGAGTTTTAAATTAGACTTTAAAAATTGTCAAAATAGAAAGTTAAACAACAACAATAATAGAATTAGCAGTAATACATTATGATGTCATTTAGCTGAATAGCAGTGAAACAGTGAGTGTATACGCTACCACCACATACTGGGGGAAAACCAAAAAACACTTCAAGGAGAAAAGCAAGCCTAAAGGTTTTATTTATTTATAAACCTCAGTGGTTCACCAGATATGAGGCATAAAAAGGTGGCAATGGCCAGTTTTCCTGGCATTGCCTCAGAAGTTTGTAATACTGGTAGCAATTTTCTGGTAAGTGTAATTCTAATCTGTCACGAAAATTTAGGATCAACAGATTTAGTCTGAACTGGGCAGATGCTATACTTCTAGACACAGCTGTCAGTGCACCACTTTTCTGCTTCATATTATGCTAATTGTCACAGGTATGACCTTCTATAGTGTGTATTATATCACATCATAGGCTGAGTTGAGATATATATGTAAACCCCAGTAGTTCCCATTCATGTTCAGTTTTTACAAATACTGGTACTGTTAGCCTCAAGCATTCGAAAATCTCAGTCAGATCCATACCTCTCAGAAACTTCTTTACTTAATAATTTGGATTCTTTTTAATTGTGTCTCATGGTGATAAGAGCACATAAGTTTCTTGCTCTCAACTTGCTCTGCGCAAGTGGGATTCAAAATTTTAGAATTGCCAGAAACTAATCTCAGATTAGATGATCTTCAAGTTTAAACTCAGTAAAATTATGACTAAGCACAAGAGCTAGTCACTAAACTAATCAAGCTTAAGTGAGTGGACAATGCCTGTTTAAACCACTTCTTCAGACATCGCTTCAGACTTGTCTTGTTCCTCAAAAACTGAAGAAACAAAATTGTTAGTCCCATGTACAGCAATCTTATCTAACATAGCAGGAACAGACCACAGGCCCATTAATTTAATTGTATTTATCTAAACAAATCTGCAGTTAACTTAGAAAAAATTTTGAGGTATGTAATATATCCTACAACGCACTTGTTCTTGTTTTAAACTTGGATTGCACTATCTTCCTGCCCAGGGAACCCTCTCAATGCTTTAGAACACTCTAGATTACAAGACACTGGAAAAAGACATACAAAATGGGTACCCATACTTTTTTTGCTTTCTTGTTTTCTGAAGGCACAGACACATTTCTGTCAAACACAGTTACCATCAAAAATGAAATACACCTTATGTATTAGATATTGATTATTCCATCTAAAAAAATGACCCAATATTAAAACTAATACCTTCCTTACCTTTGCAATAATGACTTCTTTTTTCAAAATCTTCATAGCATAGTATTTCCCACTAGCCTTCTCTCGGACCAGGATAACTTTGCCAAATGTGCCTTTGCCCAGCAGTTTTAAATAGTCAAAATCATTCATTGTCTATAAGGAGCAAAGAATAAGGATTAGCAAGACAGACTATCCAGTTCCAACATGTACACAAGTGTGTCTGCATATAACCAAATGCTGTTACCAATATAATGAGAACCGTTTACAAAAATAGGTACACTTCTGCGATTAAGTTCATAATAATTAACCGTATCCTTAAACCATTAGGATATATCATTCAATAGTATTATTATAGTTCTTGAACGTCGAGTACTGCACAGTATACTACATACACACACTTATTTTTACAAAGCACACAGAGAACAAAGTCTTAGCCTATACCAGCATTTCATGAATGCTCCACATCTACAAAAGCCCATCAACTCCTATATTATCAGAGACACAAGAACATGGCTTATCAGTAGGTTTTGCCTAACACCAGCCACTGCACTGTTGGCTTTTTTGAAACATACATGATCCTCACTGCAATACTGTACCAGTGAGACTCTACAACAGTCTTTGCATTAGAGGTAGACTTTTAAAAGTCTGAGTACAGATCACGATTACATGGTTTTTACATTAGTCAACCTGTCTCTGAAAAGGAAGAGGTGGCAATTTTTCCTCTTTCATGTGACTCCATTATAGTGACTGTTTAAGCATGTAGTATTGCCCTCGTTTTGCAAGTTAAACATAGTACATCCAAGAGCTGGTTCCACCAACAGATAATTTGAGTCTAGTAGGTTTATCAGTTCAACTGGAGCATCACACATGGAAAGAATATGATGAGATGATCTCAGATCCCAAAGCAGTTCAGCCACTTTCATGAGCACAAAGCTTGAGTCAATAATCATCTTACTTCCGCAAGTTCATGTCACAGCCGGTTCAGAAGCATCAGTCCTATGGTCTACGCATTAAATGCAACGATGAGGACGTAGGAAAAAAAAACAGCACAATATTGAGAATGCAGTGACTGCACAGGGTCACCTTGGACTGACAGCACAGTTTCTTTGGCCAACTCAGGGCCAACCATTGGCTTCTGCTGTGTGTTTCACAGCACATCTTTCAGTGCGCTGTGTTACTGACTTGATTGCAGCACCACATAACCCCACACAGAACGTTAAGGCACCCAGGAACCTTGAGGAAAGCAGTAAAAAGCTCTGAAAGACAACACGTTCACCTATTTAAGTTACAGTGCTGTCCTACAGTATCAATAACCTTCCTTCCTTTGTGAATAAATAATACACCTCAAAACATTTATGAAGAGTAATCCTACTCCAAGTCTCAGTTGCACTAAGTTAAATATACTTAATCCTGTTATGTGTGACGAAAATAAAAGGTCATGCCTATCTTTCATGTTCCTGGTGTCTCATTCTATCGCTAGTTGCAGCCTTAAGGCAGTTATCTTGAATACCGGCATTCCAGATAAACTTCTACTTGTGTCTTCCACAACGGACTTAGTACTTTCCTTATCCTTACCAGAAACACCTCTAACAATGCCTACATATCTCACAGACATTCCAAGTGTAGAGCTATTGCACACAGCCTCAGCATGCAATCAAAAACAGTGGCAGTAAAATAAATTCTCTCTTGTGAGAAACAATAAAGAGCAAAATTTCCTTCTGAAATTATTTATTCTTTTAAGCTCAAGTGCTTGATACTATTACTGTTGATCTGTAGTTGTTGTCAAACTGTGAAAATAATTTATGCAATTGCTCACTCAGAGTCAGTTTGAAATCTGCTCATATAAGGGGTAGAATTGAAGTTCCATCAACCACTTTAATGCTCTAATTTCATAGGTTTTAAGTGTTCAACCTGCAACTTACAAGCTGCAGAATGTCTCCAACAGACTACTTAAGGTAACACCTGGATAGCTGAATAGTTCAAAGTTTTATTAAAGAGAAGATGCTTTCCATATATCAATTTTCTAGCTTTATCAGATGGAATCAAATCTTTTTCCCATGCTTCTAAGCAAACTAACCTTGGTGAATTCCATTCTTTGCTCACATGTAAACATACTTAAGCATTTCGCAGGGACAGATCTTCTTTTGCTGGCAAAACCATCTCACATCAGGAAGAACAAAGCTGCGTTTATCCCAGTAAGAAATATGAGTAACAGAAATTTCAAAGGCTCAGTTTACCTTTTACCTAAACAAAATCCACACAAGTGAGTGTAAAGTTAGTTTATGACCACAGACAAATCCTTAAACGCTCAACTTTTCCAAAAACTAGTATAATGTACTACAACTAGTGACGCATGATGTAGTATGTAAAGTTGTGATCCAAACACTACATGACTACTAGTACTTAGCCAACTAAAAGTAAGTCTTCTCAGATATCACAGTCAGTACTTCGGGGATTGTTCCATGATAACCATCAAGCAAAAACAACTGCTTTTGTGCTAAAGCAATGAAAAATGACATGAAAAAGACATGAAAAAAATCAAAAATGCATTCAAAATACAATTCAGGCAGAAGATGAGTAATTCAGGGCAGAATTCTCCATATCTTCAGTTATAAGTTACCACGTTCCCACAGAAAGAATGGCCAATAGCTTTATTGATAAAGAATGCTGAGTTAGTGACCATAACAACTTATCACTTCTAACAGTCAAAAATTTATGGAATCATAAGCAGACTCCAAGAGGTAATTTTTTCCCATACTTCTGATCTTCTTTGAGAGGCTGAACTTTGAGAGGGACCATCAGAGTCTGAATAAAACAAGCTCAGAAAAGCAGCCCTTTGCCCACACACAGAAGGAAGATCTTGGCTCAACTGATCACAGACATGGGTTTGACACTCAGGGCAGCAAGCCAGTCAAATCAAAAGACTCATTCTCCCAAAATTTGCTCACAAATTGTTCATCAAAGCAGTCATGAATTTAGCTGCAAGCTCAGTGAAAACAAGTTAAAAAATATATGTATATTTATAAGAGAAAGATAATGAAAGATTTTGAGCTGTGGCTTAATAGCAGGTTATGGCGGTAGTGCTAGTTCTAAGAATAAAGTCTTCTGATCCTCTCATTCTTTACAAGCTCAGCAGAAGGCTTAGAGATGATACGCAGTGCAGGGTAACTCAAAAAGTCTGCCAAAGAACACAAGACCTTGGGAGATAAAAACACAGATGCCATAGCTAAGGGTGTACTGAAAACTGGTGGAAAACTTCCTAAACCTGAGGGATGTTGGTAAGCAAATTTGGAGGCTCCCATAAGATTGGATTCTTTCTTCTTGATAATTTTCTCACCTTTTTCACTCCTACCAAACTCTGAGAATTTAATCTTTTTCCTCATTAAATTACCTTTAGTTTCCTCTGAAAAATCTATTCTTTACTCAACCTGGACCCTTCAAAACAAATTTGGAAACAAAGGAAAAGCAATGAAACTACAGGAAACTGCACTAACCAAAGAACCGTATGATGTTCAGCCCTTCTGTAAAGCCTGTTTACTCCCCTATGGATGATCTGTTCAAAAGAATACACCCTGCTACAGGTATTGAAAATTCCTACCAAGGAACTAATTTTTAAAAAATCCTGATTTGCACAAAGATTATACCACTTTGGAGTTTTCATCTGATTTCATTAGGAAGAAACTCTACTTACAAGATTAGTACACCAAGAAATAAAAGCTGTTTGCTAAGAATTTCTAGTGGTTCAAATTTTAGTGATGCCATTATGTAAAACTTAAGTGGCACATTGACACCATTTAAAAAAAATGGGAGGGGGAGGGGGCGGGGAAGAAGTGCTTTTGGTTCTTCCAACTAATCTGGCCAGGGACGTTGCTGTCATGTCTGTTCAAATCAAGTTCACATCCTAAAGACTGTTTTCTCCATAAACCTTTTGCTACTTTTTTAGAGAAGAACAGGCCCACTCCTCTGTCTTAATCTGATTATGCTCTTCTCCTCATATGTATACCATCTGGTGCATGCACAAGCAAAATTCAATGGGCTTAGATGTAAAATCAGGTGACAAAACAAGCTTGTACAACACATTGTGCAAAAAATCCCTGAAACGAAAAGAAATCCAATACCAAAAACAAGCAATAAAAATGCATAAAGTCATTATAACGGAAATGGTTCTGATTATATTAACAACTGCAAAGGCTTAAACAGAAGGTTTTCAGAAACATTTCTACAAAACAGAGACTGTTCTAAAAAAAATATTTTTCCCAATTTCAGTTGACACAGAGGGAGTGACAACTCCCCATCATTATGGTCACTTAGAATTTTTGATTCCAAAAACTTCTGAGAACCTTTTGCTAAAATCTTTCAACAGTCAGAAATCTGCAGTGGGACTTTGAGTTTTGGTAAAAAAAAAAATTAAAAAAATTCTTGTGGTCATCAGTAAGTTACAAAAACTCCATTCTGCTCTATTACTGGGTGTTGAATATCACCATTTTTCATTTCACCTTTTTTTTCTACAGTTTGCTTTTTGGCTTGTTGCCAAAGCTGTTAAATATTCTGCAGCACTGCACATGCACTGTCCCAGCGTTTTATTTCAGCATTTCTTAAAGTGTAACTGGCAAGACAGAAACAAAACTGATCTTCCTCCTCCTCCTGTTCCCCCACACCCTTTTGTTGTATGGGAAAATGCACTGCACTGTGAACAAGGAAAGAATACATTCCAGATAAGTGACTTATATTAGACAGCATTAACTTTAACACCTTGAAAATGCTTGTTGTTATGCAGTGGTTTTGTACTCCACTATAAGAGGATATAACAGCTTGGAACAGTGCTCAGATCTTTAATACAGCAAACCTAAATCCCTTCCACATAATCGCCCTGCCTCTGAGAAAGACTGACACATCTTGAACGCTGCCTCTGTCTTGCTGTCACTTGTCATATTTTACCCTGGAGCACAGTCATCAAACATCTATGCTGCAAGGCTAAAAGTTCAATGTCAACCTGACAACATATGATCAGAGTATTGTTACAGCTGTATATAATTAGGTTTTACCTTTTTCTATAACAGAAAAAGGTTAGAAAATTGCATACAACGAAACAACAAGAAAGCACTATGTTTGGACCGCAAACTCAAGTTCTCAAAAGTTAGAACATGACAGAACTAAGATTTCCTGTGACACCTTTGTCATATTCATAAGGGTGAATACTTCCAGCCACTGATTTTTCTAAGAGTCTTGCTTCATACAGTGCAATGAACAAAACATACTCTATGAGTAAAGGCACATGTTCACTATTTCTTTTCATTGTTCATCATTCAAAGGCATTCTGTTACATTAGCTATAAGACTATTTTGCTCTGTCAGCAGACTTCCACTTGGTTTTCTACAGGTTTCATCTCTAGCTAGAAAGAATAAAGCCAGTCCTATAGAAATGGATTATTATTTCTCATGCAATTTCAATGCATTTCTGGACTCCTGTCAATCCTGTGTAGTAAATCAGAGACATCCATTTGAATGATCCATTCTTCAAGAGTAGTCCATACTTACTGAAACACAGGACAAAATGGAAACACAAAAAAGGAAGCAAATTTTTGTGTGACAATGAAACTTTAAAACACACTCTTAGTTGTTACACTAAGCTGTTTATCCTGTTGACTCTGGAGATACAAGTATCTACTTACACCAAAAGCTGTGAAGGACTGCAAAAAAATTAAACAATGTTTTCTCTTACTTCACTGAAAAGTAAAGCAGAGTTATTTTCCCAGATAGCAAAAAAACAAGGTCATTAAAGGCCAAATCCTTGTAGCCTTTCTCATGCAAATTATCTAATTTGTACTGGGTATTATTTGCATGAGAAATGGGGCAAACCGACTTGTCTAATGAAAATGTTTTATTACCATACTTCTAAAGGCGTAAACAAACAAAAAGTCAAAAATAATATTCAAACAGTAAGTAGAATGATAACATGTGCCTGAACAGTTGAACTTTGTTTTCCAGAAGTGTTGTATCAGTTAGTATAACAAATAAATAAAACTAGAGTAGTTCAGCTTTATTGAAATAAAACAAGTACTTTCATGCTTGTAACACACAGAAATTTACGTATAAATACTATTCTTTGTATATTGTTTTACCCAACAAGACAGTTCTACAAAAGTTACTTACGTATTAGTCTTGTCATTTATTCTTTTACTGTCATTACCTTTCTTTTATGATGGGTTGTTGAAGCATCCATCTCTTCTTCTCCTATATTGTCTATCTGTGAAGTTGGACTACAGTTCATCCTCTCCTCTTCTTGTCTCTGAAGTCTGTCTGCTACAGCCTGGATTGCTTCTGTCCATTCTTCCCTATCATGAACAAGCAAACATGCCTATTAGAAACTCATAAAATGCATCCAAATAAATGGTTCATAATGTTTTTCACATGCTGCATTGCTTCAGTGTTCAATTCTCATGTTACACAGCAGAAGCCTCATATAAATCAATCATTTCAATTTCCTTTTAAATTCTGCATTATGTTAAAGATTGTGAAGTTGATTAGCATCAAAAAGGATCACTGAAGAATTACCAGTGTCTGATTTTGTGAATATTTTAATAGTGAAAACCTGAAAACACTTACTCCAGGTATAATACAGCTCAAAGCATAGACTGTCATCTCCTATCTGATAATAACTTCCTATTTTAAGAGACTTTGTGGCATTCCCCCTCCCTGTGAGACATTTTCACAGAAAATAGGTAAGATTTATTAAACCACACTGTGAGTTCAACTCTCTGTCTGTCTCCTATTAAAACTCAGCTTGTTGGGTAATTTCAAATTCCCCTGAGAAAGAGGCCCTCGAAGATAATTAAATTCCTATAAGCATCATAAAACCCAGTGGCTGCACAGAGGGGCAGGCCCAGATGAGGGTTTCCATGGAGGGACAAGCAGGGGCAGCTGAGCCCATGGCTATTCTGTGTGCTGGTTAGCCAGCACAGGGACACCAGCTGGCCCATCACCACTCCACAGCCCCACACCAAGGGCAGTACCTGCTGCTTTTTGCTCAGCCAGCAAGGGATATGGGAGGAGCCTGGTGACATTACTGAATGCAGCAGGAGGTACTATGCTACATACACAGAAGAAAGATAGGGTGGAGAAGTACCTATTTTATTCTAACAGTACCAAGGTAGAATAAAAAAAAATTCTAAGTGAATATACTAATGAAAGAGAAACAACAGAAAAAAGAAAAGTTATTGGTTATTTATTGATACAAACCATATAAGTAAAGCCAAATCATAGCATTAGTCTCAACAGGACACAGTGCATCTAAGCAGAGACACAGCATAGAACATTTTAGCAAGGTACAACATCCCATATCTCCTACATTTTTTTGGTGCATTAAAAAAGTTCATTCTTAACAGTTTGTGTATATTTACTGAAACAAGAAAAATTACCAAGCAAATATAAAATAAATTATAACAAACATACTGCTTTCTATGCCAAAAAAAAAAAAGCAAGCATATTAGGAGGAGTAAAAGGAAAATTTAAGACAGGGAGGCTGGAAAATATCTTAGTGCAGGCTTCTATTGTTCACAATTTAACACTTCAGAGACATAACGTGATATAGTTTCGGCTTATTTGAACATGCTCATCCTACCTACTCACAGGCAATTCTCACACTAGCTAGGAGCTCAGATAATATTTTACAGAAGATGACCTAAAAATTCTTTAAATAACTGTTCGGATGTGCCCAGAACGTCACAATCCAAGTGCTGATCACTGTGCAGTCCCAGCAGAGACTGTGCCGAGGTTTCTGTGTAAAGAACATGGAAAGCGAAACAAAAAAAAAAAAACCCTCACCGTTCTTCTGGAGTGTCTACATGGAACGTCCTCTCTATGACAGTGGTCCACTGAAGACATCTGATAATGAATGTGTTTGGCTTTGGTCGCTCTGTTTTCATCAGTTGACATTCTAGAGAAATGCATGACATTGCCTCTTTTATACGTTGCCAGTTAATGGGTGAAGAGCAAACAAAATTACTTAGATAAAATACATATAGCTTGTGTATACCTATCCAGCATGTATCCAGCACATATAAGGAAATACAGAATGGCAATATAACCACGGACTTGAACAAAAAGTAGCAGGTAATAACCCTAAGGTGAACAAAGCAGTCAGAGGAATTGATGGAACTTCTATTGTTGCCCATATAAAAAGTGCAATCTCCATTTGCAATCTAGGTCTGTGTTATAAGGGTAAGAAGAGTACTAGATTCCGGATTGCTCTGTTATGCCAAGGTAACAGCAGTAGCCACAGGCACATTTTTCCATCTGTACCTGGCAGGAGCAATATGACATTTTCCCTTCAATGGTAACCATGCCACAATTACGCATGCTACTGTCACTTCAGGATTAGGCTGGGTAAAACATCGTATCTGAGAAAATTTAGATGTCGAAACTCATCTGATTATTAAATACAGAATAACGCCACACACAATCCCAGTGGGGCTGTCCCAGGAAATCATCTAGTTCTCTTTGTGCTCCAGGGCAGAACCAGGTCTACCTATGCTATTTCTCAAGTATTTCTCTAAACTCTTTCTACAGTCCCCAAAAAGTAGTAATTTCAAAACCTCTATAAGCAAACTATTCCATTCAATCATAAGTAAATTAATTATTTTTATAGCTGGAAGATTCTTCGTAGCATTTAATGCAACTGTTCCTATAATTTAAACATATTGTTTCTTGCCCTATTGACTAATTTATCTTTTCAGTAGCTATCCCTTTTAGATATTTGAACACTATTTTATCTCTCTTCAGTCTTCGCTGGCCTAAATCAGTTTAACCAATCTGTCCTCATAGGCTGTGCTTTCGGATCCAAGATCTTCCTTGTCACACAATTCTAGACATACAGTAGACTGCCTATTACTCCTTTGTCAAAAGACCACAACACTGGTAATTCATACAGTGGTTCAATGAGACTGTATATTAGATTTCATGATGTAGCATACTGCCCTAAACATTACGTCTACAAAACACTGACCTACTAGAACTCTTTATTCATGCAAATATATGTGAACAGTTTTGTGAAGGTAAGGTTACTCTCTCAAAAGTGTAATTTCCTTTCCTGTAATTACCACAAAATAGACATAAACATCGCATCTCATGTTCTGGAAAGCTATCACTTGTTCAAAGCTGAACCAGATCAAATGTGTGATCTAAAGTTATTTATCAGGATCACAAATCAATCAGTAATGAATGGCAACTGAATTTTCGTTCACTTACGATCCACTGTAACTTCCTCTCGATAGAGCTACCACCTACTAGTTGATCCACACCCTCTACTGATGTAGTTAACTATTCTTCAGCAAAGAATCTTGCATTTATTCTTGGTGAATTACATTTTATTTATTCCAGTTAATGTCAACACTTTACAAAAGTCATGTTATATGACACATACCACTTCACAAGGCACACTATTCTTTCACAGAAATAAATTATATTAGCTTGTATTTTTTCTTCAGAAATTCAGGGTCCTGAAACCTCAGCTATCATCCACAATTTTACAGGAATACACTTTAAATATTCTCCAAAGAACTGCATCAGATCCAGCAAATTTCTAAACACCCAACATATGTAAGTACCCTCACCCTGTTTTTGCTTTCTCTCATATGCCTTTGTTACCAGGGCTAATTGCCCAAGATGTACACTCATAGCTGACCTTCTGAAATGCACCTGCATACTGAAAATACACAAAAGCAACTCTTTAGTTCATAATAAGCTTAAAGCCTTAGTTCAAGGCATTGATTTGTATGCCTGAACACCTAAACAACTTGGGACAGGAGTATCTACGAAATGGCCTCCATCTCCATGATATAAAGCCAGAGCAAGTATCACACACTTACTTGTACTGGACTATCCTTAATACAGCCATGAAAGAACTGATATTAGGGGGTTCTTTGTGAGGACGCCTTGATTTAAGAACTTTCATGTGTATTGCAAATTTTTTATTTGAAAAAGCAAAGAAAAGTGGAAGTGGATTTATCTGTCAGTAGGGTTTTTTTCTGCAGCTTAACAGAACACCTCAGAAGCTTGAGAGACACGTGTAAGAAACAAGAGAGTAATAAAGTAAATAGTGCACTACACAGGTATGCGTTCCTTGATGCACAAACCTATAAATATATTCACCTATAATAAATAACGATGCACAAACCTATAATATATTCACAATATATTATACATCTATAGATTATTATGTAAATCAGACTGCTCACTGGTCAAGGAGATGACATGACATTTAACAAACCTGCCTACACTGTGGAGACTCAAAAGAGAAAGAGTAATCCAACCTCACTACTTTTATAAACTCAGCTGCATCTTAGACGGGATGAGAGCCATCCTCAACATTTAGAGGAAAGAGCTACAGCAGGACGGACACATAAAGAGGAAATTTGACACAAAAGCTTGAAGAGAAACAAGGAGGACAGAAGCAGATGATGGGAACCTAGACAGCATGATAAAGTAGAGTTGCTTAGGATACTTAACCAAGCTTGTAGCTGGGTAGTATGTACATTACACAAATCTGTATCTAATATATAGAAGTATTATTGGTACTATCTACATTATTTTATCAGACAGTCCTCAAAGTGATGATGCGCATTATTAACAAGAACAAAACATATGGATGCATATACTAAGCTCTGTAGCTACCAGAGTATTTGCTCTCTGAGTTTTCATTACAGATGACTAACTAAAGCAATTAAAGGTAATAAAAAGTACCTTAGCAATTGAAAATGGCACTGAAAACATACAAAACCATATATGCCATTTCACTATCATTGAGGAATGCTACTGAAAAATAAAATCTAGCAAAACTTCATGAGCTCTTTTAATATTCTGTTTAATAATAAAAATGGCTAAAGATTTAATTTCCCTGTGGAAGGTTAAAATTGAATAAGTTCATATCCTTCCCTTCTGAAGCAAAAAGAGTTTCAGAAAAAAGTGGAAGACCAGTCTATTTCTAAAAGTCGTGTCCTGCCCATCCTTCTCAAGTAGATAAAAGTAACTGAAGTCTGCTGATATTTAGTACACCTACATGCTTCGTGTGCTGCTATATACAAATGTATGGGATAAACAATATTCCTGTCATGACTGCAACATAAATAAAATCTTGCTTGTGAATGTCTTTCACCTACAGCTAGGGAAACAAAAAATCCATTAAGATGAATAAATGCTGTAATACACAGTTACTGCTAATTACCAAAATATTTTTCTACTAATTACTGGAAAAAACATAGTAGTTTTAGACAGAGAGAATAGTTTGGAAACTACAAAAGCACAGAACGACGAGTGAAACTGGCTAGTGAGAGCTGGCTCCAAACGCTCGAGTGATAGTTGGGTCATTACCAAGAGTAGAGAACACTCTACCATAATGTCTTCAAGTTTGCTACTATACATAAACATATGTAATTAAAGGGCTGAATCTCAACTCAAAACAGTTGGAAGTCTAAATTATCATTCAAAAAGATGAGTAAGCCAGTAAACAGACAGACTCAACTTTGTGTTCTTGTATGCTAGCCATCTACAACTTAGAATTACACATTTTAATCCTAAAGCTTTCTGTCTTGCTGGGATTAAACATCAGTGATGAGAATTTTCCCCTTTAATATTAGAGGGAAACCTTGGGGGAGAACACTTGTTCAAAGCAGCAAAATAAAAAATCAGTAACAGAAACTGACAACTCTGTTCCAACAAGTCTGTAGCACTCGTTTGTCCATTTTTGGATCTATACAGAAAATGGAAAAAATGAAATAAAACCAGCATAAAGAAATGCAATGGATGTTTCTCAAGTATTGAACTTCTCTTTTTAAAAGAAAAAAAAAGTCAGGTACATATCAGAGGTCAACTTTCGTCTCCATACCCAAACAATTTCACAATTCTAAAACGTTAGACTATCTTTTTCAAACAACTGCTACTACCTAAATTAAGTAGTTATGCTAGTTAAACTCTCCTGAGCAACTCTAACTACAAACTGTATTTCAAAACGTTCTGTTTACTTTACACCATTCTGAACCACAGATGACAAAGTTTGCTTGAAGCTGTAATTACTCTGCAAAGCTGGGAAGCCAATTAGAGGGCCTGAAACCTGCCAGTTCCAAAAAAAAAAAAAAAGCACAGATCATCTGTTCAGATTTTATTAAAAAGTTTAAAGTTTGAATTCTATAACTTTAACCATATAATCACCAGTGTTCTTTTTCTAAATACATTCATTCAGCATAAAAACCAGAAAGAACACTAATACCATTTTATTATTTCATATATGGTAGCTTTCAACTTCACCAGAATTTGTTGATATGGCTAGACAAGAATACTAAGCATAGAAGCAACCATAAAAAATTGCACTAGAACTGAACAGAAGGTTGCATATTTGAGAAATTATTTCTAATACAGTCTGAGTTTTAGCACAAAAGATAGCATCCTGTGACTATCATACGATATAAAAGAAATAGGATTGACCCACTGCTTGCATTGTTTAGAATACATGTACTTTTAAATACACACAGAGAGCGCTATCTCTAGACAGATATTATCTATCTATGTATATATCTGCACTACAATTTAACCTTAATTTCTTATTCTTGTCTTGGTCTTTCCTTGGTCTTTTCCTTCACTTTTGTCCCAACCCTTGCCTATTCAGTTGCTACTCCCGTTTTTTTTCTTTCTCACGTCAAAATTTAATGAACACACTGCTTACAAATACCTTTTTCCATAACTGCCACTCTGCACTCCAAATACACACTTTTCTCCAATTACCTTTTTTGTTAGACAAGTAGTAGACAAGTAGCAGAACTAGTACATCATTTTGATAACACTGAGACAGATACACATGCTTTTGCTCATATACATTTGAAAAGCCCTATCTTTTACATAGATGTACAAATACATGCATATACACACACCCACATGCAGACCCTT